TTCTTTGAAATACACTTTAATATCCAGTTTATTTGTTTCTGCTATGGAATCTCCCTTAAAGACTGTGGTATCGAGAAAGTCTATGCTTTTGTCACTCACGTTTGCGGTTAGTTTGATAGAAGGATGAAGGTTGTTGAGAATTTCAAAGAATTCCCAAAACTGTTCGATAGAATAAGTCCAAACCATAAAAATGTCATCCAAAAAGCGTCCGTAAAAATGTGGGTCAAGTGGACAGAGGGGCAACACCTCACGTTCCCACTCTGCCATGAAAAGGTTTGCGTACGAAGGGGCGAATCGTTTGCCCATTGCTGTCCCTGAAGTTTGTAAATATGTTTTACCATTAAATGTGAAATCGTTTCGACTAAGACAAATCTCTAAAAGCTGTAGAATTGCATCGTCGGGTCTGTTTGGATCTGGGTTTCTATTAAAAGCTTTACGAACTGCCGTTAAACCAGTAGTGTTATCGATATTGGTATACATAGAAGAAACGTCGATAGAAATTAAAATAGCATTAGAGGGAACTCGAAGATTTTTTATTTTATTGACAAAATCGGTTGTGTCTTTAAGGTAGGTGCGATGTTGGCATGCTAGAGGTAGTAAGAAATGATCAATGTATTCTGACACTGCATATGACTCACTACCACAGTCAGATATAATCGGGCGGCCTTTAGGGATTTTATTCGAGATAAACGACTCCTTGGTTGGATTCTTATGGATTTTGGGCAAAGTGTACAAATGTCTCTCGCGACAATCAGGTTTGGCAGACAGATAGTCATATTGTTTCTGTTTGAGATAACTAGTTTTGACTAAATCGGCAAGAATATTATTAATCATGTTAGCAGTTTCTTTGAAAATTGGTTTCGGTAAAATGGCATAATGTTTAGGATTATTCAGTTGATTCTCTGCTTCTGAAACGTAATCCTCCCTATTCAGAATGACACAACATGAACCTTTGTCACTCTTTTTAATAACAATGCTATCGTCTTTCTTAAGTAAGTTTAACGCTTCACGTTCCACTCGTGTGAGATTAGGCTTTTCGTGTGTTATGGAAAGGTTCACTGTTTGGCTATTCATACTAGCAAATGCTTTCAATATTTCAGGATGGATGGCGGCCTGAGGGGGTGTCCACGTGGATTTAGGAATAAACATTGTTCTAGCACCACGTGGGGGGTGGTTTCGAAAAAAATATGTGCAGCTAAGATTTCGTTGAAATCGTTCAATGGATGGTCGGAGATAATTCAAGTTAGCTATCTTTGGTGTGGGAATAAACTTAAGTCCACGGTCTAAGATTGAATGCTGAAGGGGTGTGAGAATTTTGCGGCTCAAGTTAACTACAGTTTGGCCTAGCG